TTATGCCTGGAAAATACATAAAAAATCAGCTTTAAGCCAGAAACACAAAATTTAACAAACGTTAATATCATTAAAGAATCCATAAAATAAGTTTCCTTCTATGACCTGTAGAGATAACTTTAATTGTTTAATGTATAAACATCCAGCTTTAGATCTGAAATGTGAATGGAAGGGGAGACTGTACGACTCGTGTGTTTTTGTGCATTAGTGTTCTGTTCACCAATAGGCTCAAGTTTTTTTCATGAATTCTATCAAGTTCTTCTCATTTTGCTTGTCTCGCGTCTGTTCTGATGTTGATGGATCACCTCTCTTCCTCCCGCTCATTAATTTCATCACCTTATCTCCCACACCACTTCATTTGACCAAAAGGTAATAATAAATCCCTCATCCATTATCCTTTAACCGAGGCAGCCATGCGGAAATACTTAATAACAGGCAACAAATTGAACTTCAGTCCCTTCTTTTTTCTTCCGAGGGCGCACAGCACATTAAACACAGCCTACAAATATGCATATGCCATTCATCAAACTCTGTTTATGAGGAATTTTCCAACACTTCTTCTCCCTTCTTTTTTTTTTTTTCATAGTTTGTCAAATAAGCATCACTGGTATCTGGCACAAGCTTCTCTCTTCTCTCTGACCAAATATTCTTATCAGCCTAAAACCATGCACACACACTGGGCTTCACAGCAGCGACAGCAGATGAGAGGCTCATTTATCTTGCACCGTGTTCCTGATAGTCTCTTCGTCGGTCGCCGTGGTCTGCGATTCGGTTTCGAATAAATTGAATTTGTGTTGCCGTGACTTTCCACCGTTTCTAAAGAAGCCTGGTTCAGAAATTAAGAGGTTTTTTTTGTTTTGTTTCTGAAAAGGAAGGAGAGATGGAGAGGCACAGTCCCCGAGATTCAGTGGTGACAGTTTTTTTTTTAGTGTGTGTGTGTGGTTCCACATGGCAGCCACAGTCACCCGGCCCCTCTTCATACGTCCTTCTTCATTTCTGCGGTCTTTTGGTCGTCTGACAGAGACAAACGACGGTGCTTCAGAAATGAGCAGCGGCCTGCCGCACAAACAAGTTGAGAGGAGGAGGGAGAGCCCCGCAGCCGCGGCTCCATCCTTTGTTTCCTGCTTGGCTGTGTTCTCTGGCGTGGCGCTTTAAATTGATCTTGTGGATGTGCGAGAGCCGAATCCATGGATACTGTTCCACTCGAGATAAAACATCAATACGCTCTTGTTTCAAGCTGCTGGGCAGTTTAACATTTTATGTCTTGAACTTTTTGTACTTCTTTTGTCTACTTCATCCAGAGATAGATATAGATATAGAGAAAATAGAATAAACTATTAATTCACAAGGGGCAATTGCTTTGTTGTTGACAAGCTGGTCTCATAAAGTGTTAAATATTAATGAATACAAATATTACCATGTGGGATGTAAATATAAAATAAATATATTTAAATAATTAATACGTCAAGTGTGACTTTAAAGAAATTTGACTTTGTAATTCAACACCTTGAAATTGGGCCCCTGTCTCTTTAAGAACCTATTTCTCTTCAGAAAGTCATCACAACATGCCTCCTCTATTAACCCTTTAACAACGTTTTTACCAGAATTTCACTGAGAAGTAGCTCCCATAATGAAGTGTTTGCTAATTGGTGCTGGCTAGTCTGAAGGAGCTGACCGGGGGAGGGTTGCTCTGTGAAGCAGAAGCTTTGAACCTGCAGACGGAGGAGCTGTGCCTCGAAGGCGGAGCTAGTTCCACCCAGGTGTTTTGTACAGCTTAATGGTTGCTGTGGGAGATGAAGGGATTTCTCAGTCATGCATGAAATAATCCAGGCAACACTCCAGCCATGTTTATGAGGAGGGGATAACATTATAACATGATGCAAAGCTCAAAGTGGATTTTACATCACACTGCCCCTTTAATGTCACACAGTGAAAACAAAAGTTCTTTTACATCATTTCTGGTTTCCACTGTTCACATTTTTTTTAAAGCTCACTCAGATGTATGTAAATGCAAACGTGATGTTGCAGCAATGCTGTTTCTTTGATTTCACCGGGCTCATGTCCCGCGCTGCGTCGTCCCAGAGGAAGGTGGAGTAGCCATAACTCCAACGCAGGCAATCACCTCCACATCACCGTAATTTGTCCAGACGTGGTCGGAGCAGCGAAAGCATTATGGGTCGGATAGTTTGTCAGCGCTCGTTGTCGCCCTCCGTGCTTTTTCATCTGCAATGGAAAGGGACAATGATCTGAGGAACATAGTGCTATTTACAGCGCTGCGGTAGATTCATGGTCCTGGAGAAAAATATGACATCTGGCAGCCTCCACTCCTGTCATATCTCCGCAAGGAATCGGGGGACGGGAGCTTCATCAGTTCCATGCTGGCCGTCTTCCTGACACCCAGAGTGAGATCTTAGTGAATTCTAGGAATGGAATAAGTCAGCTGCTCTGGTGGAGGTCAAAGGTCATACTCCATTCACTCAGTGTAGACTGACCATTTTATTTTCAGAAAAACAAATGGAGAGAGAGGTTAAAAAAAGATCCAATTAGATCTAAGAATCTGTGTTCAGACCTACAGTAAAACAGCACAAAGGGGCAACATTTGCTGCCTGTTATGTTACATGTATGTTTATTATAAATGATTCATTGTGCGATTGAACAGTAATGCTGCTAAAACTGACTTCCTTGCTCTCTACAGCATTTTTCTCCTATTTCATAAATACGACCCACATTCTTTTGCTCGCTCTTGTTCACATCTGTGCTAATATGTCTGGATATTTATTCCTCTTATGAGGGTCATGTTTTATTCCGAACAAAATGTCCTTGTCCGCATTTCAAAAGCTGAACAAAATGGATCATCTCTATTCCTCCTAGTACCTCTAAAAGTAATGATGTGTTTATAACCCGTTTGCTTTTCTGGGCAAAACATTGTTTTATACTTTTTTGCTGTTTTTCAACATAAATCTTTCACTTTTCATTACTTTTATTACTACAAAAGACTGCAAAAAGCCTTTTTTTTCCACAAAATTGACCTTCATCTTAGAATTTTTATATTTTTTAATCAGAATTTGTAATTTAACTTCAGAATTTTGACTTTTTTTCACAGAATTCCTAATTTAAACTCAGATTATTTACGTCAATCTCCGAATTCTGTCTTATGATCTCAGAATTTTGATATTTTTGTAAAGAGAATTCCTAATTTCATTTCAGAATTTTGACTTCAATCTCAGAATTCTGACTTATGATCTTGGAATTAAATATTTTTTTCGCCCCTAGAATTCTGACTTACAATTTCAGGAGAAAAGAGTCAGAATTCTAAGACTAAAGTCAGAATTCTTTTTTTTTTTTCAGTAAGTCTGATAAAGTACAGTGTTACTGTACTGCACAGTCTTACTTACTTACTGTACTATGGGGTACAGTCTTACTGTACTTTATCATATTTTGGTGCTACAGAACTCTTTTCCTGGCCAGTCCTGCTCTTACTGGTCCCGGCATATGAAGACGGGTCGCCCATGGCAGCAGCACCATCTAGCTCCTCCGCGCTACTAATCCGTATTTAATTGAGCTCCAGAGACTCTGAAGCCAGCCTGTGATGCAGGCGGCTCTTGCTCCTCTGAGAGACGCTGTCCTCGGTTAAAGGGTCTCAGCTGGTCCCGTCTGCTGTCCCCTCGGCTTAATGAGCTCTTTAACTCAGCTCTGGGTGCTGGTTGGCAGCTCGGATTTAAATATTTCTGAATAATAACCTTCGTCTAAACCTTTCTCCGACTGCCCCGGTGGTCCCCTTCTTAGCTTCCGAGCACATCCCTGCATGCAGCCTCATCAGGGGACGTGTTTCCACGTGAAACAAAAAGCCTGGCTAACAAACCTTTGCTAAGTAGGTTAGCAGCAAACCTAAATGCTGCATTATCTGGAGCAGGGCGGAGCTGAAGCTTTGGGTCTGTCAAGTTCGGCGACACGCGTCGGAACAAGTCCGTCTGACAGCACCGCAGGCCCCAACCCAGCTAACTCATCCAAACGTTTGGAGCACAGGAACAGGATGATGTCTGACCTCTGAGGCAGATTCCACTATGGAGACCCACAAAATAGTCACACTGCAAAAACAAAAATATCTAACTACAGATTTTTAGATCTAGCTTCTAGATCTACTACATACATATTTAGTATTTCTTACTAAATATGAAATGCAGTAACTTACAAGTAATTTTTCAGGAAGAAATAGGAGCTCGTTTTAAGTTAATTCCTTATTATTGATGAAAACATTCTTGTTTTTGATAGATTATTTCACTTGCAAGACATTTTTCCCATGTTATAAGTGAAGTAATCTGCCTATTCCAATACTTTTTCATCAATATTAAGGAATTATTGATATTTGCACTAGAAACTAGACAAAAATGACTTTGGAAGGTTTAGTTTTTGCAGTGCAGATGTTCACCACACTGCATAAACACATCGTCTTACAAAGTATTTTGGTCTAGCTGATAATGCAAATATCTTAGTACACTTGAAATAAGAGTGGATAAATTAGCTTGTTTTAAGTAAATAATTTCTTAATTTTGATGAAAAAGTTTGAGCTCCACTGTCAGATTATTTCACTTATAACAAGACATGTTTCCCTTATCCTAAGTAAAATAATCTGCCTATTCCAGAACTTTTTCATCAATATTGAAGTATTGACTCTAAAGCTCGTACATCTTGCTGAAAAGTTTTCAAATGTGTTGAGATATTTCTACTGGAAACTAGAACAAGAACTTAATAAGATTGAGTGTTTTTGCAATGCAGACGTTCACTATAAAACCTTTGAACTTTGTCACTCCGATCACAACAGAACTGAATTTAACACTTTCTCGACATCGGTCGTGCTGCGCCGGTTGCCATGCCGTCACTGTTATGACCTAAATGACAAACCGAGTGTTGGGTCTCATTTATGGAAACAATGAATGAAACTCTTGGTTCAAACAGCGACCTGACCAGCCTTTTTCCTTCTTTTTCTTCTGTTTTCCCAGATATTGTCCTACACTGAAGGTCTTCATGGAAAATGGCTGTTCACAGAGATCCGAGCTGTGTTTTCCAGACGCTACCTTCTTCAGAACACAGCTCTGGAAGTGTTCATGGCAAACAGAAGTACGACTGAACAGAACATTCACCGCAATTTTAAATCAGTACACTGTACATTTAACAGCACAATGAGCTGTTAATGTTTTTAAGCTGATTGATAATTTGCTGATTTATTGTGTTCTTTGCATTCTTATATTTCTGTGCAGCGGCCGTCATGTTCAACTTCCCAGATGCAGTCACGGTAAAGAAGGTGGTCCACAGCCTTCCTCGCGTCGGATTGGGCACAAACTTCGGTCTTCCTCAGACCAGGTTGGACCTTCTCTGCAGCTTTGTGCTTTGAAATTTAAATCATACGAATCTTCATCCAGACACATTTTTCTTCTTGCACACAGATTGTTGGATACAAACTGTAGCAAAACACTTTTGGTCAAGTTAAGAAGCAAAACGAAAACATCAGCTCTCATTCTCAGTGTTCGTATCATAGCTGTAGTCAATGTTGCTACTTTAACCAGATAAGTCTGGAGGCAAATTTAGGAATTTTCCAGATCTGGATAAGCAAGAAAAAGAAAAATGTATTATTAAAAAGTGGTTATTTTTCCATTAGCCATTCATCCAGCTACCCACTTAGAATCTCAGCTTCTGCATGTAAAGCTGCAGGAGGGAAGCTGCCATAAGACTTTGAAGCAATACAGCCCTTTTTAAAATGCAAATATCTTAATACACTTGAAATAAGACAACTTTTTTGAGCTTTACATCGTATAATGATGACATTTTCTCACAAAAAGCATATCACGAGTGTTGATTTGATTATTTCACACGTTTGAAAAATTCTTTAATCTCCCTTGGCAACCATTCAGATGTGCAAAATACCTGGGTGGATCTAGCTCCGCCTTTCCAGTCAAAGCTCCTCCTCTGAGCTGCAGTTTCCAAGCTTCCTCCCCTGTGACTTCCACACTCGGCTCCTTCAGACTAGCCAACGGCAATTAGTAAACATCTGGTACAATTGGACATCTGCTGAGCTCATTATACGAGCTTCTTGTCATGGAAACACTGATAAAAACATTGTTAAAGGTTTAATAGATGAGCCATGTTGTTTGCAAAGTCAAAAACCTAATTTCAGGATGGAATGTAATAACTTAAGAATAAAATCTTGTTTCGTTGTTGAAATGTAAGCCTTTTTTAAAATGACATTTATAGTGAGAATCGTCTATCAGAAAATGATCCCATGACAAACTAGCTGGTACAGAAGGAGTGTATGTTTGTGTGTGTAACAAGCACAAGATTAAGTTGTGAGATTTGACTTGTTTCTGTCAGTCATTAATCACAGTAGTTTATATGCTGCGTAGCGTCAGCCGCTGCAGAGCCTGGCCGCAACGAAGCACATTGTCTATCTCACTGTGCCACAGCATTCATTAATGTTGGAAGTTCATTCTGTTTGTCTTTGAAACACTGCTGGTGTCATGTTTTCAGTTAGTTTTTTCTTCTCCACACAAATCCTTTTCAAGATTAATCTTTAGATCAAAAGTAGAAATATATTTCAAAAATTCTCATGACATTCTGATTGGTTCACCAGTGTTTGTTCTTTAATTGTGAATGGAAAGGGTAAAATGACAGTCATTTAAATTTAGAACATTTTCTTTCCTCAGAGGTTTAATGACTATAATCACACACTCTGACATTGATTAATTCCATCATTTTCTTTTGTTTTAATTGGATTTGGGTTGTTCATTTTTTCCCCCCCTGCAGCATCTATCATGCTGCGGGCCATGCGTGTGTACATTCAACCTACATGTGCAGTTCATTTGTCTTCTTAATTAGCACGACTGTAAATGTGTAGGGTTTTTTCTTTTGTTGTGCTTCATTCTAATTGTTGTTTCTACTCCAACCTTTTCATTTAAGTCCTGATTTTCCTTCCAGGCGTATTTCTCTGGCCACGCCCAAGCAGCTCTTCAAGACGTCCAACATGATGCAGCGCTGGCAACGCCGCGAGATATCCAACTTCGAGTACCTGATGTTTCTCAACACCATCGCTGGTGAGCACACACTCCTCTGTTGTGTACTCAGAATGAACACGTAAACTCTGTTTCAGCCGTGATTTGATGGTCCATGCTTCCTTCTTCCTTTACGTATGCAGGTCGCACCTATAACGACCTGAACCAGTACCCGGTCTTCCCCTGGATTATCACCAACTATGACTCACCAGAACTGGACCTGACTCTGCCTAGCAACTACAGAGACCTGTCTAAGGTAACGCGTCTCAGGCTCGTCCTTTCATCGAGCTGCCTTAAAACTCTGTGTATAAATTTCGTAAAGTATGTTATGTTCATCTTTTTGCTGTCATCCGTCCATTGTCCTCTCCAGTATACTGCAAAGTTAAATTCTTTCTTTTTGTAGTTTCAGCTGTTTACTTTGAGTTCCTCTGGAATCAAGCATGCAGTCTTTGGATCTTAAAGGGCCAGTATTATGTCAAATTTTTAGCTTTACATTTCCCTCATCAAAAACATACCTAGAGTGTTGCCTCGATTTATTTCATGCATGTTTGAGAAATCCTTTAGTCTCCCGTGGCAACCATTCAGATGTGCAAAATGACTCCACTCAGCTCCTTCAGACTAGTCAGCAGCAATTGGCAAACACATGGTGGTACTACACATCTGTTGAGTTCATTATAGGAGCTACTTCTCAGTGTAATGCTTGTAAAAACATTAAAGGGTTAACAGAGGAGCCACGTTGTGATGACTTCTTGAAGGCGAAGTTTCAGATAGAGCAGGAGCGACAGAGGCCCAATTTTAAGGCATTGAATTACAAATTCAAGTTTCTTTTAATAACTGATGGTTACTTGACTGAGCTAAAAAATGGCACTATGTGGCTGTAAAATACATAATAATGTCCCTTTAACAGAGTTCAGGATTGTTACTGATTTTGGAAAAGTGGGGAATTTAATATGGATATTCTTCAGGTCTGGATAACCATTGAAAAGTATTAAATGTGCTCTCTTAATGACATATCAGGTCTGATATGGAAAATATCAAGGAAGCAAGCAGCAGAAGTCCAAATGAAAAAAACTGAGAAAGATTCAGAATGTTTGGAGAAGCATCTTATAGAACCCCCTGAAATGCTGGTGTTAATCTGCTCCACTTTTGGAAAAAGTGACACATCTACCTAGAAAAAAACATGAAAAAGAGAAAAATAATTATAAACCACATATTTAACTGTGTTGGTTGCTGCATTGCTGGTTATATCCTGTTAAAAGATTCTAGACTCTTAATGCTTTGAGTCTATTAAGCCAAACGTCTTCTTATTTATGCTTTGACCTTCCACAAAACACCAGGAAGTGAAGTATTACTCCCATGTAGCTTCAGGCAGCCAGTAAATGTGTGTAAAAGCATCAGATCTGCCCAGAGATGCTGCCTGCCTCATAAACACTGACTCCTGTGGCTAAAACTGCTTAAATGATTCTCCTCCACATTCAGTGCGAATATTTACTTGCATGAACTAAATATTTTGCTTTTACACGCCTACATCCACAGACAGGCAGAAAGTCAGAAAATAAGATGCGGCTTGCCAATTCCCCAGGTTCTGTTGATTATAGGAGGACAGAGGACTAGATTTAGAGTATCAGGACTGATATGAAATACTATTTGTACTTTTATTTATTTTTTTGCTATTTGCTATTTTAGGCTCAAGTGTACAACGGCGTATTAGGGCCATTGTAGATAAATAAAAAAGGTTAACATTTCTGACAAAAAACAAAAAACAACGGAAAAATTTTGTGGAAAAATCTGACTTAAAAAAAAAAACCTTGGACATTTCTGAGTTTGAAAAGTTGAACATTTCCATTAAAAAACTCCAAAGAAATGTTTGAGATTAATCAGAGAAATTTTCCGAGTTTGTTCTAGAAAAGAGTTGAAAATGTCCAAAAGTTGAAGATCTTTGACTTCTGAGTTTTCTGAAACTCTTGAAAACCTGAAACTGTTTACATTCAAACCAGATGAAGATTTTCAATGCTTAGAATAAGACATGTCTGTGGAAAATTTCTGAGATTAATGTCAAATTTGGTGAGATATATAAAAAAAATTTCACCATAAAATTAAAATCTAAACTAAATAAAAATGACACCCTATTGTGAATCAGAGAAACACGGCAAGCCTTAAGCTGTTTATACAGAGACCAGATGGAGAATTTCAATGTGTAGAAGAAGAACACCTGTTGCCTGTTGTCTGTGGGGCTCAGCACCGCCCCCTATCAGTGAGGCACGGTACTTTGATCCTCACACTGTGTATTTTCACTGCACATTTATAACCGAACACACAAAAAATTTCACACACATTATTAAATATGTTAGATTGTGGAATGTCAGCATATGTAGAACATGTAATTTTACACAGATAAAGGCGATATGAAGAGAAACCACAATACCTGCTTCATTCAGTAGGTGGGACACGGAGCCACCAGAGGTGACGGATGGTACTGAACTGCAATTCAACAGGCAATGCATAAATTCAGCGATTTTGATTCTAAAAATGTTTATATCACCAATAAAAAAAAAATCAAATTAAAGAAAAGTCAAGTGGACAAACTGATTTTCTCTTAATTGCTGGCATCTGTTTTACTTCTCATGTAGCAGCTGTTAGGATTACAGGTGAGGCACTGCCTCCCCCCTTTATGCGTTTTTGTTGTAGTTGTTGCTTTTTTTAAATCTCTATTTGTAGGACTTCTTCTCTTTTTATGTGCTTTGTTGTTGCCCCCCGGGAGGCAGAAATATGGCATCAGGCGCACAAGCAGACATTTGCTCGATTGCCTGCTTTCTCCTGAGCTCATTCCGGCTTCCTGCTCCTCCGCTGCAGATTTTAGACAGCTCAGCCTCTGAAGTCGGTGAAGCCTCGCAGCCCGGGGGAGTTCGCTTAAAGGAGGAGAAACAGAGAGACGTTTGGTCCGAAAGAACACACACACTAAAAAAAAAAAAACAGAGAGAGGAGGAGAGCATGTTACAGAAGAAGAACATCATCATTTGCAGCTCTGTCACTCCTTTTGTCTTCAGCAGCAGAGGAACGGAGGGAGCGGGGCCAGTCAGTTTTATTCATGTTGTGTGTGATATCAGTGTATGACTACTGGACCATGTCAGACTGCCGTGTCTGGTAAACGGCAAACACAGCTAGCTGCGCTCTCTCATTCATCCCCCCGCCATGCGAGGGCTGCACCAACGATTCCTTGCAACTTTTCAGAGATGATTTTAGTTTTGTGTCTGTATCTGCGCACCGTTCACTCCCACCGCGTTTGTTTTTCTCTGAAGCTTTGTTTCCGTTTTATTGTCATTCCTCCTCCCCCCGCGTGTATTTGACCCTCCTCCTCCTGCAGCGTGTCACATCGGCAGTCGTCTCCTGAAGAAACAGGTCATCTGCGAATCCTCCAGTGACATTGAGAAGCCAAACTACCATGAGTGCGTGTGTGTGTGTGTGTGTGTGTGCCACACACTTGTCGTTGCCAGAGGCCACACAGAATTTATGTCCGTGGCTACCAGAGCTGTTTCGACCCCGGGGACTTTCTTATCATAAACTTTAGCCTCAACCCACCATCAAACACCAACCCCAGAGATAACGTCGTAGCCAGGGTAAACACTCACCTCCGCTTGTTGGTGCATTTCTCCACTGTACATCACAAACCTCCAAATCCAAATTTTTTTATCTGATTTGTTTTTTTTGTTAGGAATGTTACAAGCTGATATTTTTTATGTATGGTTCTTCGCAAAAGTATTTATTCCCCTTAAGTGTTTTCCTATTTTTTCACGTCGCAGTGAAACACTTTCATTGGTTCACAGACAGACACAAAGTCATGATTAATTGTGAAGTGAAATGAAAATAAAAATGTTTTGCAAACAAAAATCTGTTATGGAATGACATACATTTGTATCTAGCCCATTTTACTTCTTTATGAAATATAGTGCAACCATTGGCCTTCTGCAGAAGAGGATTGGCACCACTGAAAAAAAAATCTGACTTTAAACTCAGAATTTTAATGTCAGAATTCTGAAAAATACTCATCCATGTGACAGTGTGCTCAATCCATACAGACCCTTCAAGTGGAGGATAATAAATAAAAAATAAATAAATCTAATTTCAACAAAGGTAATAACTTTATAGACTCATATGCTAGATGTTTGACTTGCTGAAGAGAGAGCTGGGCAATACTATAACATTATTTTATCATTCAATACAGAAGTACATTACCATATAAAACAAGTCTCTATTTTTGTTCATCTTTAATGTCCTCTTGTATTAAGTGTGATTTGAAAACATTAGGATATTTTTCAGTAATTTGAAAAATAACCTAATGTGTAACAATGAACTTTTGGAAAAAGTTGATTATGTTACACATACACATTCCTTTTAGTTATATTGTAAACTAAAACCGTCACGCATCACAGGCAAACAAAAGAAAAATTGACATTCTTTTGTTGTCAAATAAACAAAATGAGCATTGAAATAATTAATTCTCAAAATCTCTCCTTTGTGTAGCTTGTTTCAAATGTTCCCATTTTTGTAATTTAAGAATAAACATTGAACAAAGAAATCTAAAAAGATAAAACACCACAAAAACAATAGTTTATATTCTCAGGTCAAATTGAAGCAGCTACAGGTACAGGCTGTTCTCCTGACTCCATCTGAACCTGCGCTCCACTACATAGTTTTTTGTCCGACATTAAACAGCCATAACACCTCCACACGACTGAAATGTTTGCTCCTTCTTGTCAACAATGTTATTCTCTAAGTCTTTTGGCTTTTTGTCCTTCAGGACTCCTTTTATTTATTTATTTTTTCTCACTTTACAGAGGCTAACATTAGCCGTTAGCATGTCTGGCAGCTACTGTGCGTTCTGCGTCAAGCTAACTTTGCCTGGGTTTAGTCCAGCCACATGATTGGTCCATCATTGAGCAATTTGCGTTATCATTGGCATCTTTTCTATATATTGTAGGCCTATGTCGACTGTTTCTCGCATGTATTTCGAGGAAAACGCATTTTGGGATTTTTAATCTATCGTTTTATCACCAAGCTGTGACGTGTTCGTCATTATGATTTCCATAACCTAAAACACTCTCACATCTTAAAAGGTAAAATCATCTAGTTGTTTTGTAGCTTTTAACAAGGCCCAGAAAACAATTAAAAGCACACTTTATCTATTATGTAGTCTGCATGTACACACAGATAGCACTATGGAAGACTTATTGAGCGCTCTCTGTGCCTTTGTGCTATAATCTGCTCCTCACAGCCAGATCAGCTAATAGTGTATTGATCGTGCACATGCGTGCTCTGTATGCTTGTCCCGCAGGGCCTCTGCACCATTTTCACTCTTTAGATGGGACATTATACATAAACACTTACTTCAAACGGTTCATGTGATTTATGACTCAAAGTCTTGAGTGATGCTCCAATCATTGGCGAGCCATTATAGTTCTACGGGGCTGACTCCATCGTTTTATAAGCATGGTACCGCTGGGTAATGGTCCTTTAATCTCCCCCAGGAAGCTGCTGATTGTTCTGTAAATGAGTGGTTTGCTTTTGAGATAAATACAATTTAGGTCTCCGTGTGAATTTCACTGATGGGATCTTGATTGACATGTTTAAAAGAATTCTATTTTGGCAGCCTTTAAAAGTTGGTGGAATGGCAAATTTGAAAAGGACTTGGGCAGCCAGTTTAGTGTTTTCTTTGACTCTGTTTGGTTCTGATTAGAGTCGCGCTAATCCAAGTTTGGCAGTCAATTTCCAGTCGGTTTTGTGAGTTTAATCTGACTATCCTTATTTGTTCTGCTGCAATTTCTCTTTAAAGCTTCTTTAAAGTATGTGACTTTTACAAAAATTTATTTTTTCCACTTTTGTTAAAACTGTCACCATGTCGTGACAGTATAGTATGAGACAGATAATCCATCTCATACTATGAGCTACTATTGTGGTCTTAAGAAATGCACCCTTCCCAAACAAAATCAACCAATCATAGCCAGGAGGAGGCTATGTCCTGTCAATCAATTTTTTTGTATGCGCTGCTAAATGTGACAACAAATGAAAAATAATTTGCCATTCCAGGAAAACTGTTTATCTACTGTCATTTGTGGCCAGCTTACTAGCTTTAGCATTCATGGCAGGCTATGTTATGGTGAACCAGCTCTCTCTGAAGCTCCGCCTTCACAAAGTCATCACAACATGGCTCCTCTATTAACGTGAAGTGTTTTATTGAAAAGTAATTAGTATGATGAGCTCAGCAGATGTGCTGTTCCTTCAGGTGTTTGCTAATTGCTGCTGGCTAGTCTGAAGGAACTGAGTGCATTTTGCATAGCTGCATGGTTGCCACGGGAGATTTAATGTTTTCCCAGAAATGCATGCAGGAATCAAAGCAACACTGCATGTTTTTGATGAAGGAACAGTGTTATCACATGATGTAAAACTAAAACAAGTTGATTTTCCCTTATACTGCCCCTTTAAATAGCTTAATTGCACGTCCTCTAGTTTCAGTTTGAATCACCTCACTGATGCTGGAAAAAAACCTTTTCTATTTCTTTCTTCTTTTTTTTTTGTTAAATCTGAATATCATGTGACTCTGGCCACCACCTGGTTTCTAGTCCTGAGGTAGACATCAGCTACAGTTTCCTTTTTTAATGCTTGTCCATGTGATTTTTGCTCAGGCTGTTTGTTTGAACAGCTAACGTCGGGACAGCTTGAATTTCCCAGCGCTGTATCAGTTTTAAACAAGAACCTGATCATGAATGATGCATGGATCCTAAACGCCGAATACTTTCGCGCAGGTCCCCGCCGCTCCATCTTGTTTATTTGCTCTTTGGTTTCCGTTTCCTGCGAGTTATTCCTCCTCCTCTTTCCCCTCCTCGTTTTCCTCGTCTTCTGTGACGGAGAACTGATTAAAACTAATCCAGCATTAATTTTCTGACGCTTACCTCTTCAAAGCGCCGGGTTTGTTTCCGTTCCGCGGCTCGCTCTTTGGTCTAATTAAAACTACAAGATTGGGTCATTTGTCTGCGCGCTCATCAGAGCGCCGCAGTGTTGCCACATCATATTAGGCCAATCTGCGGTGCAGCAAGCGGTGATGTACGGCGCCGTCAAAGCTGCTACGTTGGAGCTACTGTAAGCTGAGAGCGCCAGCCCCACAGTAATTTACAGCAGTAAACAATGTCGGGATGGAGTGGACCGACGGCCCCCACATGCACTCACACACAATTCTCCCTCTCGCCCTTTCTCTCTTCCCACCTCTTGTCACTGTGGCACTTTCAGTCTTTCTTTTTTTTTATTTTATATGCCTCCTCTCCCTTTTCTTTTTTTAATGAGCTGACTGTTATTAGGGCTATAAATCAGACCAATGGGTGTGATGTATAATTCACAGTGTGTACTCAACCACCCCAGCGGCCCTGAGGAAGCCGCGCAGTGCATCACTGTCAACGCGGTGCAGTGCGCGGCGTTTGACGCTCACTCAGGAGCACTGTTTACAAAATAACAAACCAGAAGCACGGATAGAAAAAGAAGAAACATCCACCGCGGTGTGCAAAATCTATCCCAGTGCGCATGTATGTTTGTGTGTGTGCGGAAACACGTGGCCCATTACACCCACACATAAAACACTAACAATAGCACAGATCGATAACACAGAGATGGCCTGGATGAATCTTGCTGTGATATGAAGGAGATCCAATTGATCCACAGCCTGCAAGGCCCCTCATCCTCAAAAAGCCATCACTCCATTACCATTGATCTTTTCTCTCTCTCTCCCTATGTGTGTGTGTGTGTGTGTGTGTGTGTTTGGAAGAGGTGATGGGTGGCTCGGGGGTTAAGAGAATGAGGCATGTCCAGCAGAGCACTAATAAAAATTGAACCAGCCTGAAAGTGATTTCTATAAATGAGTATTTAAACAATAGCCAAGCGAATGACTATTGGCTTTTCTTTTTTTTTTTTCGAGATCGATGGGAAGTTATTGCAATTTAAACATTATTTTCTTCTCTCCAAGCAGAGCAGCAGTGTGTTGGATGAGGATTAATAAAAGCAGAAATTAAAGGCAGCCCCAGGTTTTTGCCGTATTCCTCGTAGGCGCTCTTTCATTGGATCACATTAGTTTTCTCTGACAGACTACAGCTGCAGGGGCTCCATTTCACAGCCTCTGAAAAGCACTCTGAGGGGGGGAAGGATTGATCCTCGTCTAAAGGAAACATCATCTAATATTCATTTCAAATTGCACGTCGGTTGCCCGCTCCGTTTCCTGTGCAACTGCAGCCGTTGTGCTGCAGGGAGTGGCCCCTGTTTATTCACAGTAAAAGTCTGAGCCTCCTTCCCTTTTATGCTCACATTCAGATTCGTTCCGTTATCGTCACACTGCATAAAAGACAAAATCTTACCAAGTATTTTTGCTCTGGTTTCCAGTGCGGGTATCTTGGTACATTTGAAATAAGACAAAACTAATTTACAAGTAACTTTTCAGCAAGACTTAGGCGCTTGTTGCAAGTCAATATTTCCTTAAAATTAAAACTCAGACATTTCTTTCATGTTTTGAGTGAAATAATCTGCCAATGGAACTAGAGATGCACTGATCCATAAGGCCAGATCTATTCTGTGTGTGTCTTTGCTTTATTACGTCATGCTTTATTTATTTTACATTTTGTTTAGAATTCTTTATTAGACCTTCTGAACTTTCTGAAGGTTTGTTGCTGTTCATTTCTTGCAAGTTTGAGCAGCGTAGTCAACCTATTGTTTGTTTCAGTTTCTTTATTGTTTATTTTGGCTGTTTTCCTGCTAATTGCACAGACTGAACAAATTAAAGTTTTGTTGTTTTGACATGCTTGACCAAGCTTGTGAAGCTTTTGGTGAATTTAAGTATTCTGTGCTGGTGCAGAGTTATCAAATAAATTAGTAATTCAATACATTTATATCTGTATTTAAAAAGAAAAGGAAACATTTAAAGTCAGTTCAGCACTGCCTTTTTATGTATCGGATCATATTGGGCAGGTTTATACTGGTAGATCAACCTCAGATATCGGTATCAGTATTAGAAGATAAAAATGTGAATCTGTCCATCTCTAAATGGAACTAGCACTTTTTCATCAATATTAAAAAATTGACTTAAAACAAGTTCTTATATCTTCCTGAAAGGTCACTTATAAGTTAATTAGGTCTTATTTCAAGTGCAGCAAGATATTTGCACTAGAAGCTAGCCCAGGGGTGGGCAATCCTGGTCCTAGAGGGCCGATGTCCTGCAACTCTTAGATGTCTCCCTGGTCCAACACACCTGGATCCAACAGCTGAATCACCTCCTCAGTGCAGTCAGGTTCTCCCGAGTCCTGCTAACGACCTCATTATTTGACTCAGGTGTGTTGAAGTAGAGAAACATCTAAAAGTTGCAGGAGACCGGCCCTCGAGGTCTGGAGTTGCCCACCCCTGAGCTAGACTAAAATTACTTGGTAAGATTTTATATTTTTGCAGTGCATGCAAAGCCATTGTAGATTCCATTATGGTCGAAGATTGTATTTGTTTTTAAATGCATGTCTGTTGTTTCCTTGCAGCCCATTGGAGCACTGAACCCCAAGAGGGCGGCATTTTTCTCAGACAGATACGAGACCTGGGAGGACGACCAGGTGCCCAAGTTCCACTACGGGACCCACTACTCCACCTCCAGCTTCACCCTGATGTGGCTGCTCCGCATCGTGAGTGAAGCATCTTTTATAGTCTCTTGCAAAACTATTCGTCCCCTTTTACGTTTTTCACATTTCACTATTTTACGACCCCGTTTTTGAAAGTATTTACTAGATTCTATGTGATGGACCAACACCAATTTGATTAGATCTGTAAAGTAGAAGGAAGTTGCACTGCAAAAACACAATACTGGCAGATAACTTCACTAATAATAGAGATATTTTCCCATGTTATAAGACAGCAGGAGGCTTTAGTTAGATGAGGCTTAGAGCTGTAACTACAGTGATAATGCATGCATGTGCATGCCACACCTTTAAGATTGTTGTTGAAGAAAAGAAGTATTATCCCTGCCCTTAAAATATATACACTTCTGTGTGTTGGTTTGTAAAATAAATACCAGTAAAATACATCATCAGTGATTGTAAAGTGAGAAAATACAGCACTGTTTCACTGGCCTTGCCAGAGTTTCAGCAAAACTTTTTCTAGGGATGCATAATATTATCGGCATGGTATCGGTATCGGCCGATATTGGCTCTAAAATTTAATATTGGACATCCGCCATTTTGTCAAAATAACTCACCGATATAAAATGTGTTGTTTTTATCAGACAAACCAGTGACAATGATGCCTACAGCACATCAAATTTTCACTGTTTGAGTGTTGTCACTGTCTTACAGAGAACAAATGTATTGACATGAATAAATTTGACATAATGCAAGTTGAAAGTGCTCCATCATTTTCAGCCTACTTAGTGTTTGCATTTGGTAGCAGGTTAGATTGACAAAGATAATGCAGTATTTTAATTCCACAGTAGAGAAAGCCATACAGTTTCAGTAAGTAGGTATAAGAAAAAAATATCTGTGTTGGTATCGGTTATCAGCCAAATGAGTTTTAATATACTGGCATATCAGATATCGACCAAAAATCCAATATTGTGCATCCCTATTTTTTTCTTTATTTTATGCTTTTTCTGATTGTTAAATTGTTGGAATTTGTAATGACACTTCTCTTAACAGCCAAAAATCTCCAGCTGAACCACATGCTGTTAGCATATTTTATGCAGTATTTAATGTGTAACCTTCATCCCAGAATTTCTTTAAATATTGACTCTGAGATGTGCTTTCATGTGCTCATTCTTTCATAATTCTAAGTTTATTCCTTTAGCAGTAAAGTGTGCACCTTCTCTCCGTTTCTCTCTCTCTCAGTACCTTTGTTAAATGTGTGCCATCAATCTTCTCACACTGCACTCATGGGAGAGGGAGGTTACTAAGTTTTTTCCACATGCAGTGTTTTTTTTCTTCCTTTTTGCTCGTATTGTCCCAGTAGCTCACTGCCTCCCTAAAGAGTTAGATCATTGATCCCCACACATCATTATCCAGCTTATTCTAAAGCCACTGTACTAACACTCACTCACACACCTCCTACTAACCAGGCAACTGAATTTGGTTTTGTGCTTATATATGTACTTTCATGTATTGAGTGTTGTCACCCACTAAAGATGCACCATATATATAATTTCATAATATATAAAATATAATTTGCAACCAAAATGTTATATTTGCTTTACAGAAGTCATTTTATTTTACAAATGAAAGTGTCAAAAATGAACTCTTGTATTTAACGCCATGCTTAGGTTGGTCATTCAAATATAATTTCCTAAGTATAAGTCTAACACTGTTTTTCACGAATTGAGCACAATTTTGCTATTATAAATAAATACTAAGACCCTTGTTGGTTTAAAAACTGTGTTCTGTATCTGATTTTATTTATCTTTTTAAAGGATGAACTTATTTTGTTTTAAGCGCATTTCCCTCCCTCATATTTTGCCTGCTTACAATGGAGCACTGTTGGAATGAGTTTTTCTCAAGGCGCTCGCAACATGAGACGTCTTCAAAATAAAAACAGACTTTTAACTAAAAAACATCTTCAAATTTGCATGTAGAATTAGGAATATACACACATTTTATTTCCAGTTTTCATGAGGGCTTGTTGAAAACGTTCCCAGGTTTATGCTAAGACATTCAGCCTTTCTGAAATCTGATGAGGTCGGCTCTTAGTTCGCCCTTTTGCCAGTTGGACGAAACATCATCAAGGCAGACAAGCTTGTAGTGGACAATCCTAAACGGCTGAAAGGACCAAAATGAGTACAGAGTAAAAGACCAGCACCCAGTGATTTTTGTTTCCATTACAATAGTGCGCAAAACTTTGTCGATATTCAAACGAATACAACTTCGCAATTGCAGTGTTTCCATTAATTAAGAAACACAATTAAAATCACACATGAATAAATTTGTTCATGTGACATTCCGCAGCATCATCAACTACTTCCTGTCTTCTCCTTCTCTGTCATTCTCTGGCTCCCCTGATGCAAAACAAAGCGTTTCTATTTCAGTTTTGCAAAATAAACCAGTTTTGTTACAGCCAAAAAACCCACCTCATCGTAGCACCAAAACTTTAAATCGGAAAATTAGTTTTTCAAAATTGACATGCTATTGAGCACATTTATTTCCGAAATGTCAAATCGCGCAGCGTGTGGTCATCGGAAACACAGCCTGTTCCTGATGTAGGATGTTTTTAATGCCTCGCTTGACAATCTAAATTGGACTGAAAGAAGTTACCTTTGAATGCTCTTCTGTCTGTAACACTAAAAGCGTTGTCAGACTGACCTGGATATGGTGCGTTTACTGATCAGAAGAAAGATGTGATTTTTTGACTTTGTGATTGGTCCAAACACCCATCTAAGAAGATCGAGACAAAAATATGACCATTCTGTTCAAATTAGATTTCATGTTGGATCTCTGTATTTATTATTTATTTATTATTATTTATTATTTATTTTTCCATTATTTTATTTTTCCGTTATTGGATTCCAGATTGTTCATTTTGTGTAGAAAGACTCGATTCTGGTTCTGATTTATTTATTTATTTATTTATTTATTTATTTATTTATTTATTAATCTTTACAGGAACCCTTTACCACCTTCTTCCTTAACTTCCAAGGAGGGAAGTTCGACCACGCCGACCGCACCTTCTCCTCCTTGTCCAGGGCCTGGAGGAACTGCCAGAGGGACACATCTGACGTTAAGGTACGGTGCACAGCTAACCTCGCAGACTGTGGATTTGGAAAGCAGATAAAGGGCTAAGAACTTCAAGAAAATGAATCCCTGTTGATCGTCCCAAACAAAGCAGAAAAAAAAGTTTCCAAAGAGAAACGTTGCGTTCTACCTAATCATTGTCCCCCACCCCAAACCCCCTGCACTATGAAAGCTTTCTGGTCTTGTGATCAAAGCGATAGGCTAATCCTCATCAGTCTCAGCTGTCTGTCTCAGATTCAGCCAGCTATAACATGGACTGTTGGGCCCCCAAAATCTGTGCTGATCTTTTCCTTTTGCCCTTCTGCAACCCGGGTCATTCTCATAGTGAGGGCCGCGGTGGCCCCCGGTGCACGCTTCAACTGCTCTCCCTAAAACATTTACAACTACAGTTAGACATTCACTGTCAGAGCTGGGTCTTGCTTGCTTTCCTGGCACTGGGTCACTGAAGGTGGGGGGAAGTAGTGGCGTTGGGGGCTTTGGGGCTTTGACGCTTGATTGCGTTCCCCCTCAGCCCCCTTCCCCCCGCCCAGATAAAACATATGGATTGTATTACTTTGTTGCTGGCCAATGCTTGATTGCGAAAGCCCCAACAACAGCCCTCGTTTGCTCTCTCGGTCTGGGCCTGTCAATGTGGATCAAACTGTGAGAGCTCAACGTTTAGATCAAAACAAAGAGCAAATCTGGTCCGCATCAGTTTGTTTCCTCCCTCGGTTAGAATTTTAGTAGCTCTGAATGAAGGTCCGTTGACTTTATCCACCTGGCTGGGCGCATTCTTGTGCACAGAAATAGAGGAATTAGGGATGAGATGTATCAATTAGGTATGCTAAGTACGCCGCTTAGCTTCTGCGTTGGGTCCATTGATAGCAAGCCGCGCTCTCTTTGCCAGAGGCCAAAAGGCCTCTTTGTTTTCTTATGCCACTGGAAAAGACTGGGTGATAATAGGTTACAACACCCAGATTTAATGTGTCTCTAGCCTGGGTGACGCTGGAGTGACCTCTCATCCCCAATCCCTTGACCCCTAGACTTGGCCCAAAGGCATCGGAGGGGGAAGCAGAGGAAAACCGGACTGCTAGCAACAGTGGAAGTGTAGCAGGAGAACCCAGGGGCCAAAGCCCCTTCTAGTGACCCGTGACAGGACAGGATTGGGGATCAGAGGGGCTGGCCTCTGACCAAGAGAGAGCAGAGGGGCCACCGCACATAATGGTCCTCGCTAGGCAGGCTTGACTATTGGCGAGTGAAGCCTATGAGGTTTTGTTAGTGTGTGTGTGTCTGATGTGGGCAACCTCCAGCTCAAATTTACAGCAAGCAGCAGTCGGTGAGCCTGGGTGAGCGAGAGGCCTCGTTAAGGCGTTGACCTTTGAGTTTTAGGTCAAGTTTTGTGAAGTGAAGGGATTTCAGAAGTGAGGAAGTTGCCGTGTTGTAAACCTGCGAGTTTGTTTGCTCGTTTGGCTGCTGAGGGGAAAACATGAGCTTTTGATTCCAAAGGAGGAGAGATGAAGATGAGTCTCACTGGTGTTGAGACTCATCACACCAGTGGAAATAACTATCCATCCATCCATCCATCCATCCATCTGGAAAGTTGAAAGTACAGCTGGAACACAATCTGGAATATGAAATATGGAAGTTGGTTTTCTATCCATCCATCATGATGGATACATGAATTGATGGATGGATCTATTCACCCGTCCGTCCGTCCATCCCTCCATCCATCCATTCATGCATCCATCATGGATTGGTGGATGGTTGGATCCATCCTTCGTTTACTTGGATGGCTCCATTAATGCATTCCTTCATTTGTCTATCCATCTACCTATCCGTTATCCATCTGTCCGTCTCTCCATCCATTGCACTCCAAATATTTTGCCTTTACTCCTCAACCTGTTTGCTTAAAAACTGCCTGGAAATTGTATGTGATTATGGAAAAATCAGAAATTCTCGCAGACAAACACACAGGAACCCTGAAAATGCGTGTGTATTAGGTTGCAGAACTTCAGACGAGAAATTGAGATATCGGTGAGGCGACTTTGTGTACAACTCTCCAACGGAAGAAAAAAGAAAAAAAACAAGCGGTTGTAGTCCCTAAACCTTCCACATGTTTTAGCCAAAGAAAATCCTGGCCCTCACCGAAGCTCATCAGGAAATAAATACGTCAGTTTTTGGAAGTGCATGTGAAGATAGAGTGGGGGAGTAATGTTTAGATTAATGTCAGCGTTGCACATTTTGCGCTCCACTTTACTTGCAGGCATCCAAGAACCGAACCGCTCTGTGTACTGATTGTCTTTCATTATGATGGACACGCAAACAAAAACAACACAACTGAAGGCTGGAGGGCAACTCTGATTTATCTGCATGTTACAAAACCCTGACATGATCCTCATGTTTATGCTCACTGTGGCAAGTTCTGCTTGGTTAGGAATGACAAATGGCTAAACATATAAGGTTACGTCTCCTATCAGGGACGTCTTTTTTCTTTGCGATCCCTGAGTTTGAAAATGTGGTGTTGTGTTGTTCCTGACAGCCAAATAAAACCATCATAGTTCAAAAAAATTTGGCTTGCTTTTTCTGTCTGTTATGGAAAAACAAGAAATCGGATGTAGACTTTTTTTTCTTTTTCTTTTTTTTTCTCCCAGCTGATTTAAACCTTGAGGGAAAAATGAAACTTGGCTGTCAGTATTTTTTCTTTGTCAGTCTTTATAATTTGGGAAAAACAGATTAGTGTTGATCATACTGAGGACAAAACCCACTAGTGGTGACGGCAGCCTGTGTTTTTTATATTTTAGGCTCTTTCTGTAGGGCTTTTTATGCTAATTTTGTTGAGATTTTTATATTTACTAAGTAAATGTAACTCTTTAAGACTCCATAATTTAGTTTGCAAAATGTCATTTTGTTTTGTGTATGCTGTTAGTGGAGGATGTCTGAGTGACAAAAAAAAGTCATTTTTTTTCATGATTTTCAGAATGAACTTTTCCATCTCTTTAGACTTAAATGTTGCAAAAATCATTGTTACTTCATCAAACATTTTCATCTTACCTTAAATGTAGGTACTACTGTCTTTTTGCACTGGTTTTGCAAATAACATTAATCTTAAGTTTACAAGTCATGCGAGTCCTGAGTCAACCATAAGTCATAAACTTCACGCTTGTTTTTGAGTCGTTTTTGCCAAATGTGTATTTTTTAAATGTAAAAATCATTCTCTGTTTTGAATTACTGCTGTTTGTTTGAAGTAAATATCAGCCCAGGTTCAGATTTTAAGGTCTCTGTCCTTTGACTGTTCCTCAACTCTCTTACCATAGGCTTGTCTTTCTAAGAAAGTACGCTATTTGAAATGATTACTTCAAAGCTATACACATCTAGAAGTTTTATGACACCGGCCCTTGAGGACTGCAGTTGAAGATCCCGGGTCTATGCAGATGTTGTAGTTTGTAGATTGATTTTCATGTAAAATACTTAAAAATTGTCCGAACTGACTTCTATTTTATTTTATTTTATTTTGTCGCCTCAGGAGCTGATCCCAGAGTTCTTCTACCTGCCTGAGATGTTCGTCAACGCCAACAACTACAACCTGGGAGTGATGGAGGACGGCACCGTTGTCTCTGATGTGGATCTTCCGCCTTGGGCCAAAAGCTCGGAGGAGTTTGTTCGCATCAATCGGCAGGTGAGTCTCTTCAAAAGCACAACAGCAAAACAAATAACAGACATGATCTGTTGCCTGTTACATATAAGTCGTCTTTGGCTTGTATACGTACATCCATTGAATGGAGTAATTAAATAAATCACCTATCTTGAATTGCAAAGTTTTAGTTTTGAATTTGCGGCCACATTTTCCTCTTCTGTTTAAATCTTTGGATTGTAGCGTTTGCGGCTTTGGATGTGATATGAATTCCTGGTAGTAATGAGTGCTGATGAGGCTGGGTGTGTTCTGTGACCTGTGTAGTCTGACGGGGGGTCTGTTCTCCTGCCCACTGATATGACCATGCCTCTCTCATTAATCACACACTTGGGTTCTGGCCGTCAGTCCGCTCTGGGCCATGAGAAGCTTGTTGTTGTGTTGGAAGCGTTCAGGAACAAAAATATCATTTATCCATGTCTTTGAAGTTAGAGAGGTTCAGCTGTATGTCCTTCAGTTTGTTGTGCCACAGTGAGGGAAACTTGTGTGTCACAGCAACAAGTTAAGGAAGTGGAAACGGGAAGATGTTACCATAAAATCTGGCTTACAGTTAATCATAATACCATGTTTAAATAAAATGGTGTGAAGTATTTGCAAATACAAAAATAACAAATTTGCTTCAGAAAAACTAATCTCTCCCAGTCTCACCCGTTCCCCCCACCTCCCAACATTCTGTTGTTCGATCCCAATTAGCAGACACCTGTGTTGAACATGTCATCCTCCTCTCCTACTCAGCGTGGGTTTTGGTACTTCATAGTTGCGTTGTTGCAGTGAGACGGTGCTCAATACTGATGGGAAGTTCGGCTCTTTTCAGAGAGCCGGCTCTTGTTTGATAGTTTTTCCTCCCATGATGATTCCAGTTTCCAAAGCCTGAGACATTCACTGAACACTTAAACCCTTGGGTCCAACTTCCTAATGTATTCTTGGAACTCGGTTGTGCCATTTTGGGTGATTGCCTTCTTCTGTGGGCTTAGTGTATAGCCTGTAGATACTGGATTTGGGGTGAAATCCACCATGGATGGTGAGTAGCTTTCATGTTTTAACATCAGTGGTATGAATTTCCTCCTTTACCCCAGGAGAATATCTGATTACTGTCAGCTCGTAGCTGTTGATTTCCCAGACCTTCTTCTTGCCATCGAGCTGACTTCTGCAAACTCGCCTTACTCATTGCAGGTATTTGGCTGTTGCTGCTTTCCTTGTTGCCTGTCTGTGGTATTCCAAGATACTTACAGCTGTCCTTAGTATTTGCTATTCTCCCTTTTGTGAGTTCAGTTCCCTCAGTGTGGATTACATTCCCTCTTTTTGTCACCATCCAGCCACATTTCTCCAGCCTGATTGACATTCTGATATTCCTGAGTCAATGTCTCGCTCACTCTTATGGTGTGTTCACGCCAATCGCATTTCGCGCATCAGGCACATCTGATTTACATTCAAAGTCTATGTGGAGGCACACCAAGGGCCCGTCACAGCGCGATTTGAAGGATTTTGAGCATTTAATGCATCCAGCGCATCCAACACATACGGCAAATAGGTTGGCAGCAGAAAACAACGGCAAGAGTGATTTTGACGCGTCTGACGAGCCTCCACACAGACTTTGAATGTAAACCAGACACGCCTGACGTGTGAAAAACTATGTAGAGCAAAAATGTCTTTCATTTACATTCAAAGTGCACAGTTAAACTTTAGTATACACCTTGATTCATCCATGTAGAGGAGGTGACTAATTATGGTCTCCACTTCTGAGATGGTATCCATTGCCAGTCTTGTTGGTTATTTGGCTGAGGGGGGGGGCGTCGTTGGTATGTGATTTTTCTTTCTTTCAAATAACGTTCCAGTATTATTCAGTCTCCAACCTTGATGAGCATCTTCATTAGTTTTCTCAAATTTGTAAGGGAACCAGAGTAGTTTCTGTCTGAGATAAAACATGCAGCAGAGACCATCGCGCAGGTTGAGGTGATCAGAACTGTAATCAGCTAAAAGATTCAGAGTTGTGTTGAGCCTATGGACTTCGTCTTACCTGTCCATATCCCCCACATAACGCTAACACGCTCTGAAGCATTAAGTCTCAGTGTGGTAATTTCACCAGCAGAAGAGTTGCAGCCATTTAACAGCACAGACCATACACACAAACCACGCTGGGGGACGAGCGTAGGCAGGGGTGTGTGGGTGGACAGGTCTGTGGTCATGACAGATAGCTGACATTAGAGGGTGTCAGCTGGCAACTGTGGTACTGTTGTGAGAGAGATGAGCATGGCGAAGGGGAAGAGAGGAAGAGTGAAGGAGTTAATGGGCTGTTTGGCTCTCTTTAGCACTTCTGGTCCTAATGGCTTCACAACACAAGGGTAGACAGCAGGAATGAAGGCGCAAACACACGCCGCTGCACGCCTGCTTACAAACACACACATGCCGGCTGTTTCCACTCTGGTTATGAGCCCTAAATGATTAACAGCTAATTAGGGCTCAATCTGGAGAGGCCATTAAAAGCCTTTCTCGGAGAAGGATCGAGCTGCTGTGCAAAACGGCAGCTTGTTTTTGTTATTGTGAGGAGACTTGCATGGTGGGTAATAAAGAAAATATAGGAGAAGGTATAAACGTTCTATCAAACTGCAGCCTGGGATGTGGCGCTCCGCTGGTCGAGGTGTCATAGTTCATCAGCGATGTTTAGCAGGAAGTGTGTTGCGTGGCAACAGAGCGGCTCCGTTTCACCACCACAGGTTTGGTTTTTAGACAAATTTCTCTGCGGACAAAGCACCTCAGCACTCTCTGATAAGCCTGCCCCGGCACTCAATTGAAGCTCCTACATTGTACTCAAATGTTTGCGAGTGAAAGGCACACTCCCTTTTTCCAGGCCTATCATGCGCACACCCCCACACATCAATGAGGAGACGCTGGGGTCTTGAGGCCGCATGCCACAGAGATCAGGAGCTGCTTGTTGCCTTTACCAGGAGGTCAGGAGAGAGGTTAAGAACTTGATCCCTCCTCCACTAAATAACTACATTTTTCTGGGGACTGTCAGCTCCTTTTACATTCCTCTATATATGACCACATCGCACCTCACAGTCCTGCTCACTGTTAACTCGGTTGCTGGTGTCGACTGGGAAATTTGTGTTTTATTTATATTCACATCAGTGTCTTTGTACACCATCATGTCTTTTCATTGGAAGAGCCAGATGGAGCATAAACCAGATGTTGGTAACTTGTTTCCTGCTGTTCACAACAGTGATTGTTTTGAAAGAGGGAATCCAGTTTATCAAAGTACAATTGTTGTGCAAGAAAATATGTTGTAGTTTGTACTATAAAGTCTTAAAACAAAAGCTAACATAAAAAGAATACAATTAAAATATGGGCAGCGGTTACAGAGTGAAAAAAACAAAACAAACACCTGACCTCAGTCTCCCTATGTTCACATACTGACTGTACTATGTTGCCATTGTACACATTTCAAAGTGTTCAGAATTGCAACCATTTCACCAAAGAGACTCTTTAACCCGTCTTTGATATCACTGTTACTGGTGTGTAAGAAAATAAAATAATAATAATACTAATAATAAAAACAACAATGTTTAGCCTGGTGGGGGCGCAAGTGAAGCCTGGAGGCCCACCAGGCTTATAGTACACTGTGGGAAACCCTGCAGTAATTTCTAAACTAAAATCTCTGTCAAAAAATCAACAGGATATTATTTTTCCACTTGAATTCGCTCACTATCGACAACCATTGTACTAGTGTTTAGAAATGTACAAGCTCCCTCAAGGTTTTTTCTGCTCATTTCATGTTTAACAAAATGTGGGAAGTGTAGTCACGGAGACTCAGAAGACAAAAATTCACTTGCAGCCACTCTTCTGTTGAGGCCTTCAGCTTCACCCAGTCAGAAATCGGGACTGTTTATATTCATCTGTCATCCCAACAAGCTGCTGAGCTGCTGGGACCTTCAGAAGATGGTTCCCACAAGCCTCCACGTCTTATTCTCACAGTAACCCTCACAGAAGCTCATGTGGGGGCTGAGGTAAACCACCACCGGTGCTTGTGCACTTGTGAATGACTGACTGACTGAGCATTTTTTAACATCGTCTAGCCCAGAGCTGCTCCCTCTACCAAAATTTGGTTAACCATGTTGGGCTAGCACTAATGTATTCCCTTGGTGTCTCCGCTAAAAGCTTTGTTGTAAGATGGGAACTACCATGTGGGGCGTGGAGGGGTTTGGGGGGGGGGGTTATCTGGTTAATGTCAGACAGCGCTCACTGTAGGGGTATTGTCATGCATAAGGCCAGACATGTTTACTGTGTGCTCAGTGTTTTACGAGCTGTCCCCCCCCTTCTTCTTTTCCTCCCTCTCATCTCTGGAAGCCTCCCTGTTCAGTGATGTAATGGAGGAGGCTAATGAGAGCCTGAGAAATGGGATGATCTACAGTTACTGAAATACTCAAAGACTAATGTTGTCCTTCTTTTTTTTTCCTGCACTCCCCCGTGCTCTCATTTCACTTCAGCCAAAATCAACTTAAATGCTCTTTTGCAGCTTTGCTGTGTTTTCGCGCTGGTTCTGCCCAACAGTTTGTCTTCCTGACTCACCGTTGAACTGTTGCACTCGAGTCCTTTAAAATGTGATCATTGAAATCGTCTTTGTTTGTTTGAAATGAACTGAAAAAAAGTTGTTGTTATTAGACTATTTGACTGTAGCTCGTGTTTGTCAAGCTTGTCTAGCTTATTTTGGACTTTCTTGGTTTTGACTGGTCCCTCTGGCTTTCAAACACTTATTAATTATGGATGCCTTACAGACCGAAGGGGTGAGCATCTTTGGTCTGTTGTGTTGTCTCTTAACCTTTTCAAGATTTACCTCAACACTTGCCCAATGAGAGACTCAATTCTTGCAACAGTGAATAATAATGAAAATGAACCAACCAACCAGTCAGCTCTGTGATAAGAACCCAGCCAACCCATCGGCCACTTTCATGATAATGACACAGCTAACAAAACCATCCAACTGACTTTGG